CGAAAAAACTTTTTTTTTTTTTTTGGGAAAGGAAGATTTGGCCCCCAGTCCCCACCAGGGGATGGGACAGTGGTAACCCAGAAGATTTTTTCGGGGCCTTTCCGGGGGGTGGGACACCTTTTTTTTCAAGGGTCCAATAACAATTTTTATTCACCAACCAATCCATCCCCTTTTTTTTTTTTTTTTTTCGGGTCCTTTGGGAACCCGGGGTTTAGTGGAACATTTCCCCAAAAAAGGTTTAAGGGTTTTTTTCCCTGCCCTTGCTGGGGAAAAGGGCCCCGTAATTAAAACCTTAAAAGCAAAGTCGGCTTCTTCCCCCCCCCCCCCCCCCCCCTTTTTTTTTTTTTAACTTTATTGAATATACAATTCTTAAATTATATATTTCTTTAATAGAGAGACCCTCAAGCTGCCTGGAGTTATATCCTTCCAAGACTCTTTAGTAAGCCTTTTTTTCTTTTTGCTAATCATTACTATCGGTGATTACTTACCGATGATTTGTCTATTCGTGAAACAGAGGAGTACAATGTGGATGGCATGTCCAGCGATGTTTCGTTTATCACGCAAGATTACTGGCTCAATTCGCTTGCAATTGGCCACCCACTTGTGCTTCAAGCTACAGCACACTCTTCCGAGTCAATGAGCCGAGGCCCGGATGAAGATGACACAGCCGTAAGTATCAAGAATTATGAATTGAATTACAAAGACACTAATGATTTAATTATATCTTAGATCCTGCGCTATAACACTATGGATATGGGTAAGTTATAATATGATGTCTATTGAGCTCAAGTATTTATAAATTGTCTTTGTATTTTTTTTATTAATAGCCAAATATGACACTAAGCTGTAAGAAATAATTATAATAATTATGCACTCATGCATGCACAATGTACTCTTGACCGACATATTTTTTTTTTCTGCATTTCTTGCAGCCGTGTGCCTACTATTGCATCCCGTAAATATTTTGAGCCCAAACATATGACACACTCTATGGATCGTTGGTCCCGTAACAAGACAGAATTGATTCAGCATGCATTCTTCAATGGTATGCTCTTTGTTCTCTCTATCTCTCTTTGGAATTATATCCAAACACACAAAGCAAAAAGGCTAATTATTATCATTATCATTATTTTATTTTATTCTGTGTTTGTGTTTGTACTATAAAGGTATTGGTATTGAAACATGGGAAAACATCTTTGGTACCTGGAACCAGATGAGCCCCCGTGATGGTGAGGCACTTCGCCGCACTTCTGGTATCCTTCGTGCTTTTGGCCCAACCTTCTTCAGCTCTCCTGAATGGGAACCTCACTCGCCTTGCATCAACTACAAGAATGTGTTTAGCAGTCGCTGGCGCTCATCTACCACACCCGAACAGGTCCTCTGGACATTCGTCAACCGAGGTCCCTTCCAGGTGACCGGCCATCAGATTGTGGTAGCCTACCAGATCGGCTATCAGTTCTACGATGTCTGGCACGGTCAAGAAATCTATCCTTCCAATGTTGTCGATGGCTTGGCTACCCTGAGCTTTGATATCGAACCCAAGGGTTACGGTTGCATCTTTGTATCGCCAGACATGGTACAATTACCCCATGAGTTTGAAGTCTTCTTGAAATTCATGGCCGAACGCTCCAAGATCCCTCTCCAGCGGTATCCTATTTCCAGCTCTATCCTCTGGCAAGAACTCGACGAGGTTACTGTATCACCAATTTCCAGTGAAGCTCCACCCTTCATGGTTCGCATTGATGGTGACCACTTTGAATTCCGTATCAATGGTCGTGAACCTCATCCTCCAGGTATAAAAAAACATATGTTTATCCTTCAATACCAATACCAATTTCGTTATTATTGATTTATTGACTTATTTACTCTATATTCTTTTATATACCAATAGGATCAGAATATCCTGGTGTTGACATTAAGTATCCTTGGGAGTAAGTGTATATATTATTATTATTTAAAGAAAAAGAAAAGAAAATTTACTACATAAAATAAAATAAAATATGTTACTGACAAGTTTGTGTAAATCTTTAGATTTGAACCGACCCGAGTTCATCACCCTCACCAAATAAAGATGAGATCGTTTTATATGGATATCTATCCTGTAACAGAGAAACAGTTCAAGGAATTCTTGGACGACTCAAAGTATCAACCTGCTGACCCCACAAACTTCCTCAAGCACTGGGTTGAAGGAAATTACCCCTGTGATAACGGAAACAAGCCTGTTACTCACGTCTCGATTGAAGATGCCCGTGCTTATGCCAAATGGGCTGGAAAACGGTAAGGATCAAGAGAACTTTCAAGTCTATTGTGAATTATATATTTTTTTGTATGTTTGTTATTGCTGTAAACTCATCACACATCACATTTTTATCATATTCTGCTCTGTGTATAGCTTGCCTCACGAATGGGAGTGGCAGTACGTGGCTCAAGGTGGTGTTGAATACCGCGCTTATCCTTGGGGTGAGTGCTGGGATGAAACCAAAGTACCAGAACCCTACACTGGCCGTGACCGTCTCTATCCTAATCATCCTGCTGCCGATGTGGACACCCATATCCAAGGCCGTTCAGTGTTTGGTGTCTATGATTTGGTTGGCAATGTGTGGGAGTGGACAGACGTCTATGTTGATGAGCACACCCGCGCTGCTGTTATCCGTGGTGGATCTTACTACAAGCCCCAGTACAGCGATAAATACTTCCCTCAGGCCTATAGAAATGACGAGCATGGCAAATACTTGCTTATGTCACCCTCTCTTGATCGTTCGGCCGCTATCGGATTCCGATGTGTCAAGGACACAGAAGAAAGTGCCGCTGTGTACGGAAACTGTCCTTGGTATGGTCAGGAAGATTAAATGTAAATTTGTTAGAAAAAACCTTAAAAAAATTCACTCGCACGCCCACACCCACCCACCCACACACACACACACACACACAGTCGTTCTCTCCTTCTTATTTTTTGTTACTACTTTGGGAAACGCTCAAACACCCCCACCTATATTCACATTCACACAAGGATATAAATCCAAATACTTTTTGACAAATAAACAAGCATACAAACAAACAAACAATCTCTATAATCCTTTTTCTGTCTCTAGTGAGAGAGCCAATAAAACACAGCCAATAGCTTATGGCATGAATATCCTAATAGGAGTAGTATCACAATTATTATTATTCTTCTTGCTAAAACAAAAAGAGGTCAGGAGGAAAAGTTTGGGGAACACAGTGTCCAAACAGCACTCAGTGAAAGATAGAGAGCTAACTTACTGGGAAGTGAACCTTGGTAGAAAATTCAAGCAAATATACCTCCCACTTCATAGCCATAATAGCAATATGGTTCAAGCTGAAGGAAAATAATAGAGATTTGCTGGCTGTGAAGTTCATACCGCGTTTTACAGAGTTAGAAAGCATAAGAAAAGAGCGAGCTATATCACAATTTTAAGCAAAGAGTCTTTAACAAATTAATTTTTATACTGAACCGGGTTTAGAAGCAGGTTTGAGGGCTCCAATAGAAGCGGGCTAGTGAAGTGAGCTGATTTCCATTCTTTCCCTTCTGTTTTCTTACTTTTGATTTTCTGTATTCCTTCCTGTCTTTATAGTCATTAGTTTAATACCTTCCCATACACTTTTTGGTGTATGTGTTTCTTTTTAAAAAAGAAATATCTTCCAATGTATATTATATTCTTCTTTGTAGAAAGTATGCCCTGTTTATTTTTTGGGGTGATTTAATAAAACCTTGTATTGCACAAAAGAAAGGTACATGCATACATATCTGATTACATAATAATAACAATAATCTTTAAAACATGCAACAAGACAATCGTTTCTTTTGTCATATATATGCGAAAGACTTGCAACTGAATTATCTGGGGTATTTACACAAATTTCCTTTTTAAAATAATCCTAATAATGTAGGTATGTATTGGGTGTGTGGAGAAGATGCGATCATTTTGGCATGTAGATATCATACAATACACTGCAAATTCAAACAGCTCACATTATGTTTTCTTTTTACTACGTTTTAAAAGTCATATTTTGATCACAGTGAAGAGACAGAAAAAGAGGTGGAATTGATATATAAGGTCTGATTTGTTTACACGGATAAAAAGCAAATACTTGTATTGATTGTATTGTCTGATATTTTTTGATATAGGTAGGTATAGAGAGTAAGAGGTAGATGTAGAAGATGTAGAGATAGAAATATAGATAGGATAAATAGAAAGGAACAGAAAAAATAATATACTATAATGTATATACTTTCTTTAGACCTTTAGACTCAACTCACTATCAATGGCAATCAGACGAGCCTTGAGAGATTCAACCTCCTTAAGCTTAGCCTCAAGCGAGTGCATCTCTTTTCCAATCGACTGCTTTTGTTCCTTGGTACCAATGGCTTCCATTTCCCACTCGCCTTGGTTACCTGTTAGTCGAAGGATGTGCTTGTGGTACTTGAATAGGGCAGGACGATGAGAGATTGTCAATAGAGCTATGTTGTATCATAGTTAATACGAGTTGTTTCTTTCTTTCTTCTTTGATATATATATAAAACCTACTGATTCCCATGTCCTTGGCGTGTGCGTACATGAGACCTTCAACATCAGTAGAAACAGCACTAGTGCACTCATCAAGTACAGCATACTTGGGATGATGGTAAAACAATCGTGCCATTCCAACCTATAAATCATTGTTAATATATATAGCTATCAGTCAACTTGTCTCTTTTGTTTATATTGGCCTGTATTTTAAGATTGTTTTTTTTACTTATTATGATATCTATATAACTTACGCGCTGCTTCTCTCCACCAGAAAATACATCCTTCCACTCCTTCTGAGTCTCCCATCCACCTTCACGGTCAGGGATATAGGCCAAGTGAACAACCTTTAAGATCTCCATAAGTTCTTTGTCTGTCCGTCCACTCTTCTTCATGTCTTCATAAGAATGAGGATAAATGACCCTGAATAGACAAAGTTGCATTGTGAGCTTCTTTTTTTTTTTAAAATAAATAAATCTAATCTGATCAAATATACTTACTGATCTCTCAAAGTACCAAGGCTGAGGTAAGGGCGTTGAGGAATATAAAAGATATCCTTGTCATAGGGCTTAGAAAGCTTTCCCTCTTTTGTAATTTAAATTTTCAATAATAACAAAGATTAGTGTTCTACATCTTAAAACTAGATTGTTTTCTTGTATTATGCACTATGCGCTATGTACAACATACCAAACACAGGCCACAAAGAAGCAATGACGCGAGCAACTGCAGTCTTTCCGACACCGTTTGGACCCGTCACCATGAGATGCTCTCCGGGCTGGACATCAAGTGTCAAGTCGTTCACCAACAGTTCGCCTACGTTATCTGGTCCTGATGAAGGAGCAACGATAGGAACCTTATCGAATTTGATGCCGTCTATGCCTAGCTCGACTTTTCCCTTGATGTTTGTGAGGGCAAAACGACGAGCATCCTCGGGTCCGTCGTACTCCGATGCATGAAGTGCGTGCAGAATAGACAGGAGACCATAAACACGCGATGTGTAACCTGCCAATTCTGCTAACTCCTTGTAAGAATACATCATTCTTCCACCTGCGTCTGCCAGCGAGATTAACAATCTGTAATAATAATAATAATGTAGAAATAATTCATTAATATCAATATTTCATTCAAACAACCTTTTATATGTCTGCCTGTTTGTTCGTTTGTTTTTAAAGTCCAAGCTCATTATTAGTATCATACCTCTTGTTGGTAATGAATCCACGGGTGTGTGATCCAACCTTTACATTTTCATCCGATCCTTCAGAGGCAGCAGCAGCAGCTACAGAACGCTGACCGGCCAGGTCTGGTAAAAATACAGGGATAGAGCACAGACCCAAACCAAATGCACTCCAAGCGTATTTGATCAAAAAGTCTTCAAACATGTTGTAGCTAATTCTGATCTTGTAGATAGTGTTGATGTGTTTGATTAGACGAGTGTATGCTCTATCAAGGATAGAGTGCTCTAGGTTTGCTCCGTTGTAGAATGCAATTTCTTCTGCATTTGTAATCAGTCGGGTGTGTGCAGCACGGAAATCACCCTATTTTATATACGTTTATTATAAATATCCAACCAATAAAATCTTTAATTGTTCAATTGATTCTCTTTCTTCTACTTTTGCTTGTGGTTTGATTTTTACTACTTTACTTTGCCTCACTTTACCTCCAATTTGGCTTCAATAGCAGCCAGTTTTCCAAAAGATGGCGTTACAGCACGCAAGAGACGAGCAGTGACAAAGTAATTGACTGTAAGACCAAAGGTACCAACAACACCGATGGATTTAACGAGCTGGTAGTTGAAGATGAGGGTATCAAGCATAGGTTTGGCGAGATTGGAGTACAGAGAAGCAAGTGTGTCGCAAAACTTTGCTACGTCTGTTGTAATGTACCTGTCAAGATACATTGTATTAAATACCTGCTTTTTCTCTCTTTCTTTCTCTTTCTCTTAAAAATGCTTCTCTCTATTATAATCTTTTGTTGTTAATCTTCTCCTTCTTCTTACTGATCTGCTCCTTGAATACGACCATCCAAATTGATAACCTTGTAGAAGGTGCGTTGGGGATCAAGGTAAAGGTCGTGAACGTAACGTGTCAACCGAGTACGGAAGCCAATAGATAATTTGGATTGGAGATAACGAATCTATGTATACACACACATACATACATACACACGTAAGCGTACACGTACATCCACAATATATATAGCTATGACAGATTTCTTATTTTCTCTTCAATTCACATATTTTCTGTTTTATTCTCTAGTTACTCACCATACTGTTGGTGTATGTTGCAGGAATGGCGATTGCAAACCAGTATCCCAATCCTTTGAGGAATTCTTTACCATCTCCATTAACCTATAGACACACATACACACACACACAAACAAATAAACAAACAAACAAACAAACAAAGGATATATAAATCCGCAAAAACGCCCCTGACATGTCAGATAAATATACACGTTTACACACACTGCAAAGAAGTACGGACCAGATCTCTGACAATACGACCGTCTAGACGCGCTACAACAACACTAAGATATGTTCTTAGGATCAAGAAAACGGAATGAAGGATCAACAAAAGAGCTTCTTTGGTGTGCCAATGAGGAAAGATGATGGTCGCAATGGCTTTGAGTTGTCGCTTAAACTCATTGTTGACGCCGACTTTGGCATTTAGATCGGACACTGGGAATATTTTCTTGTGTCGTCTAAAGACGTCCTGAGTGGTTTCTTCGAGTACCCCATCATTCGTGGACTTGCGTTTTGTCCGCTGGGTCTGGTAAGCAGCAGCAGCAGCAGCAGCCAGAAGAGACGATAACGCAATCGTCTTATTCTTCTGAAGCCACGAATGGCCGGATATCGGCTTCGAGAGGAGCTGCATAGAAGAATTACTTTTTCTACTTTAGAAAGAAGAAGAGGAAAGGAAGAAAGAGAGGAAAGAGCGATAGGAACAAAGAAGAAGAAAAAAAGATATAATAGGCATTGGTAAGAAATAAGCAATCACATGGAAACCAAGAAATGGATTTTGCATGTGAAAGCCCCGCTTTTTGGTGGGTTGGAACTGGCGGGGTAAAAAAAAACAACAACAACAACGACAGAAAGACTGTTTGTTTAACAGATGTATTTGTATTTGTATTTGTGTTTGTGTATTTTTTATATATGGATATGTATATGCATATAAAATAAACTGTCTTCTAAAGTAAAACCGACAGTTTTTTTTATATAGTATCTTCTTTTGTCATTGCCGTTATTGGTTTTGGTTTTGGTTTTTGTTTAGGTATAAGCAGACCGACCCATGCGCACAAATGCTTCTTGCTTGGCCTCGCTAAAGGTGTGTCCAGTAGATTTATAGTGGTCATAGGTACGCTTATAAAGGTAGATAGCTCCAAATCCCATGACCAACCAGCAGATGGTAGCCAGTAATGTGAAGATACCGGTGACAATGAAGCCGTCAGAGAACAAAGATACCAACAGAATTAGACCAGCACCACCCCTAAATAACAGTAATAATAAAATCAATATACGCGTATATAAAAAGTCGCACCCCTAGACTGATACTTACGTTGAAGGGATACCAACTGCCTTGTAGAATGTGTAAAGGATATGGAAACCGTTAAAGATAAAGAACGAGACTGCATATATATAGTTAAAAAAATATACAATAAAAATACCCAATTAGTATTATCTTATTAGTTAGAAAACACTCTTTGGAAATGCACTTGTTCACTCTATAAAGCAATCCGCATTCATCACAATGTACTTACAGTAATAAAGAGATACATCCTTCATGTAAGCGTTGTAAGCAGGTCGGTACCAGAGGAAGAAACTGGCAAGGGTGTGAGTGAACATTTCTGTCAATGAAATGCCCAAATCTGTCGGTCCACTGGTCACAGAGGCTGGGTGCGAGAAAAGGACGCACAGACAGGCAATAAAATTGAGTACCAATGTCAGTTCAAACAGTAGCCATTCACGATATATCCACCACACAGTCCACTGGTGCTCTGGAGGAATCTCTGCCGGAATATCGAGGTACATGAGTGGAAAACAGGGAGGAAAGTTGTTTGTTCCTCCTCCTCTTCCTTGGCGTCGCAGCTGCTGTTGTTCCAAAATACGCTCTCGCTCTGCCAGTTCGCGTTCCTTTTGACGCAAAGCCTCTTCCTTGGCAGCCAAATCTTCTCCTACCGGGTCTGATGCCTTGGGCGTAAATGAGCTTCCATAAGGGTCATGAGTGTCCGAGAGATGTTGATAGGATGTTCCTGAAAAGTCATCATGGTGTGTGGGATCTGCATCGAGACTGTAGCTCATTTCCTCTCTGTTTGAATTCAGCGCAGAGGTGATTGAGGGATCTTGAAAAGGATTGGATACATCTTCATATGGACTCTTGTAGGCCATCTTCTATCCGAGGTATTGTTATTAATTTTTCTTAAAAAAAGAGAAATGAGGTGTATAAAGCAAAGATATATATAAATAAAGAAATTGAATGAAAGATAGATAGATAGATAGACTAAGAAAAAAAGGGGGGCTGGTTAGGGAGGAGTAACAATCGCTTTCTTTTTGGTGTGTGTGTGTGTCAAAGTCGGGGCCGTCGGTTGTCTGGCTCGCATGGTTAGATACGATAAGAATTATATGTCGTGACTGACATTTTTTTTTACACCAGAGTCTATATATGTATATGTTTTTTTAAAGAGTGAAGTTGACAATGCTTGTCATTTAGTTTCTGTTCTTTATTGAAAGAAAAGGTTTATTCTTTGTAGACTTCTTTGTGTATCTTATTATAGGGTATCTTGCTAATTTTTTAGACTATCAATAACTCACCCTGACAATAATAAAATCTTGACTCAAACAAAAGCTTAAAAGCAGCTAAATCAACCAGGCAAATAATCCAAACTCATTATACTGACTACGTTTCTTTTAATAAAATGCAATACAAACCTCTCTTTCATTCTATTTTATAAGCAATCATAGGTATATATCGAGTAATTTACATAACTGTCAGTAACAAGACCCCTGAGTAAATCCGCAATCATTGCAACAAATGAGCATTTACAGGATGTCTTTAACTTCATTAAATATTAAACATATGCAGTTTGGGGATGAAAATTTATTTATTTAAAAAAAAGGGGGAAGTATCTATAGATATGTATTAATTATCAATGTTTGTAACAGACATGTACGTAAATCCTATAAGCCAATATAGAGTAATCCAGGAATCTGACAGGTTCTTGGAACTTTTACTATATTCTAGAAACCTAGTAACTAAGCATTAGTATTTATTTGTAACAATTTTAGCTTTTCTCACGCGCACTACTGATTTTACAAGACATCTTACTTTATAACTGCCTCTCTCTTTTTATTAAATAAAAGTATAAAAGATATTCAATTGTTTAAGAGTGAAGATGTTAGTAAACAGTAGGGTTCTGTCATCTTCTTTTCTGTATATATATTGGAATAGTAATAATAATAATAATATATTCTTATTTGAGATGCGTATGAGCTTCATTAATTGAAATAACTGTTCAATATTTCGCAGCTTCTTGCCACCTAAAACTCCAAGATGTACTTGTTTGATTAAGTTGGAGGTTTGGTTATTTACAAATATGGAGTATGATTATAATTATCATTATTTTTCTTAAAAAAAAACCTCAACAAGAAATTTTGTTTTCAATATTTGTCCTATTCTTAATATTTAACTCTATGCATTGTACGTTGTACTAGATACAAAAGAATACGTGTAGGAAACAATATAACAGATATATATGAATATATATATATACGTATTATGACTTGGTGCTTTGTATACGGCGTTTAACAAATCCTTTAACTCCATCGTGACCACTACACAATTGCTTTGTTATTAAAAAACAATAAAAAAAGCTTATTTCCAAATACTTACTCTTGAGTTATGATCATCGTACGCTTCTTTGGATTTGCCCACAATAATACGCCGAGTTCTTGTGCATGTTTCTCTGCTGCATCAAAGTCTGCTTGGGTACCAAATTCGTGGTACAAGTAGGCTAATATATATATATATATAATCATTCAGAGATTATCTATCTATTTTCTTAGTGAATGCCTGTACCAACCTGGAGTTGTCTTTAATCGGTTTCTTTCCATCTCCCATAGTCTTATTTGATCCACAACGGTCAGAGGTAGGATAGGAGTCTAAGTAAGTAAGTATCACAAAAATTAATGCAAGCTCAAAATTTAAGCAGAGGTTCCCCTCTTTACCCCCTTCTCTTTCGAGATACTTTACCTTTTTTCTCATTTGTGGATGAGCATGGGTTTGCATATATGAAATAATTTGATCTGCAGTGATTCCTTTTAAGAGTGCGTTTCTAACACTCTCACGGCTAATGACACCAGCAACCATGTTTCTGAACCGAGATTGCAAGTTTACAAATAGATTTAAAACTGCGATCTGTAATGGTGAATCTACATTGAATATTATTAATAAAAATAACAAAAACAAGAACAAGAATAACAGTAAAGGTCTAATAATTGCTGTTATTATTATTATTCATAATCTATATAATATCTTACCAGTGTAAGCATATACTCTGTAATTGGTTTCCAAAATCATAAAGCCCTGATCGCCCTCTTCCTCATCTGTTGTGGTTGTTTTTGTAGCTTCAGGACCTGTACAATTTTTGAGGGCTGCACCAGCCAAGGCAGCATTTCCAGATGTCAATGTGGTAGCCAGACGGGTTGGGTAGTATCGACGTGATCCACCCTATAAGAAAATATAAGTAATTCATAGTTAATAGATCATATATATATATATATATTATTTGTATAATAGAAGTAATAATAGACTGCTTGCCTTTCTTTGATAAACAATTCCATAATCTCTCAGGTCTTCTAACATTTGTTGCTGTGTCTGTGTCAAAGTCTCAACCGAATAATTCTATAAAAATGTTATTTGTTAGCGGTTTGGATCATTAAACTTTGCCTTTTTTTTATAGAAAAACAAATAAATAAATCAAGCATTACCTCTCCTAGCTCTAAGGAACCCAATTGAAACAAGAAATTCAAGACCTCTACCAAATCCATTTGCAAAACCTTGGAATAAACAAAATTAATAAAGCAAAATAGGAATAGAATTTCTTTTGTTTTACTCGACAGATATTAGTATTATTAGTGTTGCTATTTTACCTCTGCCATGTCTAAATACTGTAGTAAAAATGCCCAAACTTGGGTATTCACATCTTGCAATAAAAACTGAAAGCCCTTGTTTGTGATCTGTAGGTGTGTTTGATCTGTTGGACTATCCTCAACCGCCATACACATATAAACACACATGCAATAGATTAATTCCTATTTGGTTACCTAGTTTTTGAAATATATATTTAAGTTACCTAGTCTGCATAAGTTGACTACGTTCCAAAAGATTAAGGACACCTCGACTCGGTTTCTTTGTGAGTGATGTGCCAACCATGTAATGAAGAATAGACTCCCATTGCTGTGTTGCATATTGATCTAAGAACGCGATATCTACAGGATGTTTGTCAGGCGTTGAACAGGGAAGTCCAAAAGATTGTTGGGTTCCTCTGATCCACAATTTTGGGTTTGGTTTTGTTGGTTTTGTTGGTTTTTTTTATATGTATATATATATATATATATTTGACAATCAGTCCTTCTTTCTATAATTTCAAAAAAAAGTATCAAGTTTTTGCTGTTCTGGCTCACCCTCCTGTAAGTGCATTTCGAAACTCTTGACGGAATGTCTCGTTCATCACCAAACAATTGTCTTTGTGCTCGAGTATCCGCAGTCGAGTCAATTTGAGTAATGCTTCTGAAAGTTTGCTACACACAAATACAAATAGAAATCATAATAAACAAACAGATAATAGGACGAAGAAAAAGAAAACTCTTGCTTGAATGTGTTTCTTATATTATTATTATTTTTTGAAAAAAAAAGAGCCATTGTAATCTACATCACGTATTGTGCGTGAACAGAGTTTTGGCTGTCAACATACCGTTGACCATCTTTGGTAACCCAGCTGTTTACATCCTGTGCAATAATTGAGGTTTCAACATATAAGAGAGACATGACAATCTGTCTTCCGATACTCGGTAAAAGACTAGTTCATTTCCATATAAAGAAAAAGAAAAGAATAATGACTCAATATATGTATATGTATATATGTATATATGCGTGTGTGTGTGTGTGCGTGGACAAAGATCATTAAAAAAAAAGAGAGATTGTTATCTAATCTATACCGAAAGATGGCAAGACATGTTGCGGGTTTTTGAAACAATCTCAGAAATGTAACTGTTGGTAATGTCTCGAGATATTCATAAATATTTGTCTTGAAGTTGTCGACAGACATGGTGTAGTTGTTGATCTTTTGAAACTTTAGGCAAACAAACAAACAAACAAACAAAAACAAAAAACACAAAAATGAAAATAAAAAATAAAAATAAAAATAAAATAAAATAAAATAAATAAAAATAAAATAAAATAAATGAGCAAAAGGCACAGAAAGAAGGCCCGCCTTTTACCATTATTGTTAATATTAATATTATTTGTTTCTAAGATAAATAGGCCTTTTTACTTTATATACATATCACAATTTATTATTATTATTATAAAATAGGGAAGTTCAACAACTATATAGACTTTTTTTTTTCTTCAGATTTATATTTTTGAGTTTAAATTAAATATAATTATTGGTCTAGATTAATCTAAAAGCACAAAAGTCTATAAGAAAGAAAAAATTAAAAGAACCTTCAAGCTAGGGTTTAAAGACTTCATTTTATCGTTTTTGTAATTTATTAGCAACCGTCAAAACAAATGGTCCTTATTGGGCATAAATTCAAACTCAAAGGAATAAACCCAAAAAAAAAAGCCTATAAAGCGGTTGAACCCCCCTAATATGCTCACTTTTTTTAAAAAAAAGAAAAGAGAAACAAAAATTGGCTAAAATCTGTGGAAACAAACCTGGTAACCATGGCTTCGCAAGAAAAATTGGGAAATACAAAAAAAGATAAAGGGAAATATATATATTTAGAACTAAACCCCTGAGGGTGAGAGAAAATGACAAATCCTTCATATAACAATTCCTGTAAGTGAGAGATCTGAGAAAAAAAAGTTCCGAAATAGTCGTCATCTTAAATACATATATATATATGTTATTATGCACATTAGGGGGGTTTCATAAATTTTAGTTGCTCGACCTTCAATATGGCGGTAATTTAATATATATGATTGATTGGCTGTAACGAATCAAAATATATATATATGAAAACTTAGCATCTAACAATCAAAGAAAAAGTTTAGATGCTTTGATGTTGTCGACTTTATCAAAATTTACAGTTTTTTGTTGTAGATTCACAATTGATAGTTAAAGTTGTATAGAAGCAAGGTCAAAGAGAAAACATAGAGCATAATCAATCTGTATAATAGTTAGCTATCTTAGGACCAAACTACAAAAGTATAACATACTCTTGGGGACATTGATCAAGGGTATTATACTCAAGGTTATATTAGAAGGTTATACTTTTACATTAAAGTATCAAAAATTGAAGACTAATGAAACCCTCAAATATATAGAAAAAAGTTAAGAAAAAAACCTCCTTTTTTGTCATCTTCTTTTATGTATATTTTAAAGTATAATTTTCTGATGACTCAAGAACGATACTAAGATGGACTTTTATATATATGTCTTTTAATATTCTTTTATTAATGAGAAAGACAAAGAAAAATGTATAGGTAACATGCATATATACATCTCTTATTTAGTAGAATACAAGTGTATGTCATTCTCCAGCGCGCCTCACTGTATATGCAAGTATGTGTAAGTGGCCGTATATGTACTTTTAGCTAATACTGATATTTATTAATATTACTATTAATATTACTATTAATCCATTAAGAATTGTGTGTAGTTACAGCTTGACACTGTAAATCTTGGAAAGTCTTGTTAGTAGATTAATATTTACAGATCCCTTGGATTTCTCAAAGAGTCTTTGAAGAGCTGATTGAAAAAAAAAGAAGTTAATGACAAACTTAACAAATAAGCAATGACACAAACCAAAACAAAAATATTGGATTTTGGTGGTATTTCTTACCTTGAATATGTTTCTTATCCAAAAACATGACAAGCATGTCAATACGTTTGACTTTACTGAGGTTAGACAGGACATCCACTATCTCTTGTCCAGTTTTGTTACTATTTAATAGTAAGTATGTTAATCAAAAGCTGTCTAACGGACAAAAGTAAAGCTCGAATCTGCCTGTCTTGTCTTACGGAATATAATGTGAATCCAGGATCTCGATCATCTTTTCAAATTGGTCTGATTCAAGAGAAGACTTGAAAAGAGTTGCATACGAAGATGGTGGAATACACTAAAAACATTGATCACAGAATCACAAGTCAATTAAAAATAAAGTGGAGGGAAGTTTCTCCTTTTCTCTCATTCTCTTTGGTTATTTGAAAAATTACACTTACTTGCAAATAATTGTATAGCATATCATCACCACGATGTTTACATGTCTTCCAGTCTCTTTCGAATTCAAAGTTTGTACGGGGACAAACCAGCTTTACAGGTGGAGCATTTGTAGGAAATCCGTGAGGTACAGCAGCAGCAGCAGCAGCAGCAGCAGTAGTAGTAGTAGCAGTAGCTGGAGCTGAATCAGTATTTGAGGCAGGACTGGTTGCGATATTTGCTGATGGATTTAAAGTGTGTTCTTGGGAAGATTCTACGACAGAAATCCTGCTGGTTGATTGTTTCAGAGCGGAAGGCTTTTCTACGGGTGCAGCAACTGAGGGTTTGTTCAGATTATCAGCAGGCTTTACTGAGACAGTTGGTAATTTAGGTTTAGGGCTAGGTGCTTTTTCGGCCAGTGGTTGGATTTTGTCCGAATTGGAATAGTATTCGTCTACAACTTTGATGGGAAGACGTCTTCGATCAACTGTTTTTGGAACTGGTGAAGTAGCAGGAGCAGAAGCAGAAGCAGGAATCTTAATAGCCGGGTTTGCCTATTTCCCCACAGTTAGATAGCAAAGAAACCTATAATGAGATTTTGTTTTTTGTTTTTTTGCTTTTGCTTTTACTATTAAATATATTACCACTGGTGGGGTTGATGGCTTCTTTTTGATTGGTATTTTTGCCAATTCTTCAACAATTGCTTTGCTTCCAGGCTCCAACTCCAAGGCAAGTTCAAGATCTGTGATTTTAAAACCAAATAAAGAAAAATGTCAGAACTTCAGAATAATGATAATAATGATAATAACCTTTTCTCGCTTCTTCAAATCGACCAAGTTCACGCAAGGCAGTACCTCTTCTCCAAAGAGCTTTAACGTTGCAAGGCTGTAATTGAAGGCCACGACTACAGTCTTTCTCTGCCTCAAGATAACTATGTACACATAATAATGTTTGATTTATGGAATAGTGAAAGTGTATAAGTTTCTTTAAAAGGTCATACACTTGAGAAAATTAAGCTTGAATTACTTTTTTAGCTTTAAATAAGCCATGGCTCGGTTCACAAAATAAACAGCGGTTGTAGGATCCAAATCGATAGCATTTCCATAATGGAGTGCTGCATTTTTATTGTCTCCTGCCCGGAAAAATGCGTTGCCCTTTTGTGTGTATGGGTGGGTGGGTATATGTGTATGTGTGTAGGTGGATGTATAGATATATTTTGTGTGTGGATATGAAAGTATATGAAGATTATATACATATTATGTATAATGTATATGTATAAGCAATGTATTTTTTTTATTGATATTGATATTGATATATAATATATGTCTTTATAGATGATGTTGAATATCTAATGTACTTATAATGTATGTATGTATATATATTTTGTAGAAAATCCCAAATCTATATTTTACTCACCTTTTCCTTCTCAGCCAAAGCCTTGTCTGTACGCGATAATTTTGGAGTGTCGGATTTTTTCAAAGGTACGGCTGTTGGTTTATTCTCCACTTGTTTACCCTTTTTATTTATTTATTTTAAACAAAATTAAATAACTTGTCATAAGTCTCTATTGTGCTTCAGCATATACGTATATTGCTGTGTATTCTTATTGAAGGTTCTACCTTTCGGTTGCTCATAAAAGACTGGATTCCAGCTGGTTTTGTACCATCCAGAGTGATAACGGTTGGTTTGCGAATATTTGGAAGAACCTTGATATTAAAGTCAGTCAAATAAGGCACAAAAATACCAATACCATAAATATATATATATATATATATATATAAAGTATTTGATTTTATTTAAAGAAGGTCTTGATGAGTTGTTCGGTTTAGGCAACCTCACCTGGTCATTAATAGGCTTTATTTTAGAGAGTAATGAGTCTTTCGCAGAGAATTCATCCTGCCATTTCTTCATTTCAGCCCAAACATCTTTTGAATCCTTTGTCATTGTAGATTCCAAACTTATTTCTTCTTATTTTCTGTCTTCTATCGCTCTTTTTGCTTTTGCTTTTTAATATATATATAAAAAAAAGAATAAGAGAAAAAGACGTGGCTTGTGCGGAGACTATATATGTCGGCAGTTGAATATGCATACACAACTTTATTTTTTAATTCTTTAATTTTTTTTTTACTGTTGAGCGTCTGAGATTCTATTTAATGACGTTTAACTATATCTTTTTTTGGAAAGAAGGGTTTTTTTTTAGGAAAAAAAATGACGAAAAAACATTGATTAAATTCAATGCAAAATGTCAATTCTAATATGAATATCAGTTGCTAGTTATCAGTATCCTTATAGCCATTGATATTTATATACCAATTAAACCCTTTAAAGGAATAGTATTGAAAAGATGTGGGCGTCTTTTTTTTGTTGGTGTTGTTGAGAACTGTAATTTTTCTTGGCACAAGAAACAATTGGCATAAAGAATTCAAAGTAAGAAAAGACAAAAAGCAAAAAAAAAAATAGTTCCAATAAATGCAAAGATTAGGGTAGTTTCCATGGCGACAATGACGACAGTTCCATGACTTGCTATACTAGATGAGGTTTGTTAGCAACTAGTAAAATCAAAAATTCTTCCTTTTATTTCATTACTACTTATTACTATCGTTACCTCTTTCTATCATTCAATTCAATCCACAACAAAAAGCTATGTCCAATTTCCCTTACTCTGACCACGACAAAGAGGTTGATGTTCATGCACCAGCATCCACCTACTATACAACCGGAAAAAACTCTCGGGATAGACCAAGAGCACATTCTGTTAGTAGCTCAAATCTTTCTCTTCTTCTTTTAATCAATTCAAAGCATACGATTGATGTTCTTTATCATTTGTTATTAAACCCAATTTCCCTTTTTGTTAGAGAGTTCAACTTGAAGCTACACCCAAACCCCATTTTGATACAACCCGTACTCGAAGAGCCTCGCATGGTAGGACAAAGAAAAGAGAGAAAATTACAAAAACAAAATGCATGAAACACCTCAAAAAAAACCGATATTCATAAGATCAAATCTATTGTCTTCAACCTCTCCCTTTGTAGATGATAAAAACAAGCCGCGTCGCTTTCTAGTCGACGTCGAAGAAACTCAGCGCAAGATCCTCGAGCAGGAAGATACAGATGGAGATTTTCAAATCACAATCAATGATCTCGGGCCAAAGACACTTGCATTGGGCACAGAAGACTCTGGGGGCTACCGAAAGTACGATATCAGAGGTACCTACATGCTCTCAAATCTCCTTCAAGAACTCGCACTGGCCCACGACTATGGCCGGAAACACATAGTTCTCGACGAAGCCCGTCTGAACGAAAACCCTGTCGATCGGCTGTCTCGCATGATTCACCACAATTTCTGGGATGGTCTGACACGTCGTATCGACGCAGATACCATTGAAGTCGTCTGTGCTGATCCAAAGGATCGCTCCGAAAAACCCGTATTACGCATGTATATCCCTTACGATGAAGACCAGCAATATGAGTACTACCAGAACGTTGCAGATGAGCGGAAGCACCTCGACCTTCGGGTTATCCGTCTGCCTCGCGAAATCACGGATGAATACGTCAAGAGCATCAACGACGCGCCTGGTCTCCTGGCATTGGCCATGAAGGAGTATACTGACCACGAAGGCAAGAAAAAATTAAAAGGCGAGCCATTTGTAGTCCCTGGTGGTCGCTTCAATGAAATGTATGGCTGGGATTCTTATTTTGCTGCCCTTGGCTTACTGGTCGACAAGCGCCTGGATTTGGTCAAGAGTATGGTCGAAAATTTTGCTTATCAAATCAAGCACTACGGAAAGATTCTCAATGCTAACCGCAGCTACTACTTGGCACGCTCCCAGCCTCCATTCTTAACCGACATGGCACTCAAGGTCTATGAAGAACTCCCGGCGAGTGAAGAACGCGAGAACAAGGAGTGGCTGAGACGCGTCCTCAAATCTGCGATCAAGGAATACCACACAGTCTGGATGGCAGAACCTCGACTTGACAAGAAAACCATGCTGTCTCGCTACCACCCCGGTGGCATTGGAATCCCGCCCGAAACAGAAGCTTCTCACTTTATTCACATCATCGAACCATTCGCACAGAAGCACAACGTGTCGGTCGAGGAGTTTGATGACTTGTACAATGATGGAAAGGTCAAGGAACCTGAGCTTGACGAGTATTTCATGCACGACCGTGCTGTGCGTGAGTCTGGCCACGATACTACCTACAGATTCGAAAAAGTGTGTGCCAACCTGGCCACAATTGATCTAAACTCTTTACTTTACAAGTACGAAATGGATATCGCTGACGCAATCCGAGACTACCTTGATGACGAACTGGAAGACTTTGATGGGAACAAACAGACAGCGGAAGTATGGCTTGAGAGAGCCAAGCAAAGACGTGTTCGGATTGATAAGTATCTCTGGAACGACAAGGAAAACCTTTACTTTGACTATGACACTGTCAAGGAGAAACAGGCAACATACGAGAGTGTGACAGCCTACTGGGCGCTTTGGGCTGGATGTGCAAGTGCAGAACAGGCCGCAAAGTTGGCACGGCACTCGCTTGCAAAGTTTGAAGTCATTGGTGGACTGATATCCGGTACAGAAGCATCACGAGGCCAGATTTCAATTGAACGACCTAACCGTCAATGGGATTTTCCCTTTGGTTGGGCACCTCATCAAATGATGGCCTGGGTGGGTTTTGAAAGATATGGAATGCAAGATATTGCCCGTCGTCTAGCATACCGCTGGTTATTCACGTAAGGTTAATTAATCAATTAATTGATTATTATATATACAAGCAATGGGCTGTAGACTAAAAGCTTATCAACGACAACCTCAATTGATACAATTTTCTTTAAAATGATAATAACACTAATGTGATCATGTTGATATAAATAGGATCACCAAGAGTTTTGTGGACTTTAATGGCGTTGTGCCAGAAAAATTCGACGTGGTCGGCTTGACCCATAAGGTTGAAGTGGAGTATGGCAACGTTGGCACTGATTTCAAGTTTGTCCCACGCGAAGGATTTGGGTGGATGAATGCATCTTACCAAGTCGGGCTCTCATACCTCAATGTCCAGATGCGCCGTGCACTTGGAACATGTACCAACCCAGATTTGCTGTTTGAGAAGCAATTATTACTCCAAGGCAAGCGCCAATCTAAGGAGGAAATGGACCGTGCAATGCACTACCGCCGCAAGTCTGAGATTGCTGTTCACAAACTTACAGAGGACGGCGATCTCGATGGGGCTGTCACTAGAATTGTTCCGGAAAATCACCCATCACACGTTGATGACAAAGGATTCCTTATGCCCTGAATAATATAAACTATATTACATTACACTCACTACACTTCACACACATAACAAACACACATGCTCTTTAAAGAAAATAATCATAATCATAATAAAAAAAGAAGATAATACACCTTACTCCTAACACCTTATTTTGATTTTGTACATATGATATATCACTATATACAGTACACAGACAAAGGCACAACAACAACCAAGAAAAATCTCAAATTCCCTTTCATTACCTCTTCTACATCTTTCCTTCTATTCCAACATATTCCCTTTCAATTCAAATTAATTCAACTCATCCTTTGTTCTACAATTTGATGCAAAATGATAGTTTTTTGTTTGTTTTTGTTGTTTCTTTTATTTTCATCGAATAAAAAAATAATCCAAATGTCTTCGCCTTTCTTTACTGATCCACACGAACCAAAAGAAGAAAAGATCAAGCAAGAATGATGTTCTTGTTTAGACCTTGAAGCCACGGGAAGCACGCTTACCACGAGCACGCTCGAACTTACGACCCTCGGAACGAACGTAGGGCTTCTTGTTCTTGTGGGGACCCATGCCGAAGTGCTTAACGGCCTCACGGGAGTTCTTGGAACCGCGGATGAGGACAGTGTTGGCACCAGTGGGGGCACGGAGAGCAAGCTGATCGAGGGTAAGGATCTCACCACCGGCCTTGAGGATGCGAGCCTTGGCGGTCTTGGTGAAGTGGAGGGCAGCAATGGAAAGCTTGGGGAGGTCCAAGATGCGGACATCGTCGGTGATGGTACCAACGACAACAAAGGTCTTGTTGGCGGCGCTCTTGGTGGCGGCGTACTTAGCAAGACGGGAGACAGAGACGGGGGGACGGTTGACGCGGGACATAAAGAGACGCTTCAAGACGACCTTGTTGAAGTTGGCGTCAGTGCGACGGGCAAGGAAACGGTACAACTTAACCAACAGAGCCAAGTAGACATTGTCCGACTTGGGGGCAGTGCGGTTGGAGTTCTTGACGTGGTGGTTCTTAAGGTCGATACCCTATACACATGCACACACATGAATACATGAGTATAAATTTAAACATGTGTGTATATAATAATTGCATAATGAAGAGTGCTAATGATGTAATTCATTATATATATATATATATTTGCTCATCAATTTATAAGGACCATATTGTAAACCAATATTTCTTAACAATATATATGTCGATTTATCCATTATTCTTCCATCTATCCCATCCATCCATCCATCTTTTTTTCTCCTTTATATGATCATTTATTTGCCCCAAGGCGAACAGTGTGCGTACCATTTGTCAATTGATGAAAGAGGGTGTGCCTTCAATGGGCCGGGCGGCCTTTTTTGGACCTCACCGCCAAACTCCACACACACGCACACTTGGAAAAAAAATGGGTGCACGTGATTCATACCCCGCCCCGAGTACAATAATTAGACTTGTGAGTTAGCCATCACACTTAAGATAGTTTTACCAGAATAGCTTATAAAAGCGGTAGGATTGTTGAATTGTTAGTTTTTTTGATATATTGCAACGTTCAATTGCACTGGGGCTTTACTATTCTAATTTTTATAATTAAAAGCACTGCTGTTATAATCTATATTTTGAAATTGAATGAGAAAAGTAAAATACAAATGAATACGTGATTTGTATATTTTTTACTTTTTTTTTTAAAAAAAAAAGCCTAGCAAATATGGTGTACGACTAATCTATAAATTTTTCTTTATAAGATTTATGTATTCGACTCATATATATAATGTATTGTGTTTGGGTGTGTATAGATAATTCAAATGGAAAAAATATCTATTCGACATGTGCTTTTCACGGAAATCAAGTACTTGTTATAATAAATTATTTGAATACCTCTGAACAAAGGTACACATAGCACATAACACATAACACAATACATAGTGTATGATACACAGCATACGGTACACAAAACATTTACTTGCTGGTATACTATAATGTTACTTTGCACTTTAGTTATTATAGGGATTAAAAATTAAGTATTATTTATTAAAACAAAAATAACTATAATATAAAATAAAATAATAAAGAATAACATGAATAAAAGAATCAAGAAAATCAAGGGAATTTACTACAGACTTTCATAAATGTTCTTGGTATCGTTATTACTACTACTATAATTAACATTATAATTTTTCTTTCAAGATACTGCAATTCAATAGAGTACAGTTTAGTAATAAGATAACTAAGCCAAATGTTGGCATAGGATAGAATAGAGTAAATAAGGTAATAGGAAAAAAAAGTGATTATTTGGGAATTATTGAATGTTTTTGATTATTTTTTTAATGAATTATAATTTAGTTTAATGCAATCAGTCCAAGTGCGGATACAATGGTTGCTAAGAGTACAGTAGCTGGTACCGAGGCAGAAGTAGAGGCATCAGAGCTGATTGTAGATACAGAATCGATATTTGCGGCGTTAGCGACACGAGCAGCTTCAGTCTGTTTGGCCTGAGCCTCAGAGTACGATAAGTCTACCTTGGCTATGGCCGCATTGAATTTGTCTCGAATTTCGGTAGGCAGAGTGTCAATAGCAGATTTAAACTATTGTTTTAGTTCGATAGTTAGCAAGACAATCTAGTTTCTCATCCAACAAATATTTTTCTTCTTTTTGCAAGAGAAATTACCTCGGCTAGTCTTGCATCGTATAATGCCTTATCAGTAGCACTGTCAGCACGAACTAATCGTGCGCACACGCACACACGAGTATCAAAAAGATTAATATACACAAAGATTCAGATATGTATTTTATGAGTTTTTTTTGTTTGAAATTTTTCTACCTTGGACAACAGCCACTGAAATTAGGGCAGCAATAATAAAGGAGAGGGTGAATTTGACCATGACGAGTAGAAATGAATGGATTGGATTTGAAGAAGCAAAAGGAATAAGTACAAGAAAAAACAATAGCAAATCTTCGATTGAATATATATATATATCTAAAAAAAAATATAAGTAATTGTGGGAAATATTAGCGATGGAAAATATCATGTGTAATTCAATATGGTTATTTCATGTGGAGTTAATTTGGAGGACAAAAAGGTTGAACTGTAGAACATTAGCCGGTGATTTATTGGTGTTGTCTTTCCTTCTTTCTTCGTTGATTGTGTGATGTACTGTTTTTCTCTTTATTTTGTGATTTCAAAAATCAATAAATCAGGTCGACCACTATATTAATGCTTAATTCTAAGTTATGTCGTTTTGTAACATGAATTCCATAATTACCATTGAGGGTAATGTCTGCTAGTTTACCTTTGCTAGAGAATAACTCTAATGATCTGGTGAATTAGAAACAAGAAAGAAGAATAGAAGTAGTAAATGATGACCTGTAGGGACAGTTAAGTGTGTGTGTGTGTGTGTGTGTGTGTGTGTGGGGAATTGATGTTCATATTTGCCATATTCGTACTCGAATTATTTCAAATGATTCTTGTCCCACCACGATACTTTGCTACCCAACAAAGCCATTCATTGAAATAAATATAAAAAAGAAAAGAAAAAACTGCACCACTTTAATCTGTAGATCCAATTCAACTGTGATCTTACGTGGGAAGACCCTGAGTCTTTATTTTATACTTTATACTTTATACTTTATAGTCACATTGAAAACAAACACGAATATCAAAAAAGGGATGAACAATCCAAATAAAGTCTTGTTCTGTGCAAGCCCCACCCCACTCCATCCCATACCCTACCTTACCTCTCTATTTTCTATTATATGATTCTTTTCTTGATTATCTTATTTTGGTGTCAAACGTTACATGTAATGCTTTGAATAAATCATGCTTCTTGGTGTTAAAATCCAAGATAAATACATCATTCTCATTCTTGTTCTGGATATTTGCAATGCTTTTCTATATTTTCCTTACACACACAGAGATATTCTCTAAAGCAATTCATAAAAATAATACAAGCAGTTCTACTGATGTTTTGCTATATCAAGACCCCTTCCTTCTCAAAATATATCACCTATTTATTTCAATCTCTACTCTAACAATCTTCTTTAAATTTTTGCCTTTGTTTTATTACCAGTAAACGACGATGCTTTTTTTTCTTGTAAAATAATAATAATAATAATAATAATAATAACTTTAAACGTTGACGATTAAAATAAAATAATTAGAATCTAAAGAAAGAATAAAAGAATAAAATAAGTATCATGATTTGTTGCATTTCACAATTTCCACAAACTAAAAAAAAAGACAGAAACCATAAATTATCATTCATTATAATTTTACCTGTTGTAAGCCATGTTGCCACGGACTCTGTTGTAGTCAGTCAAGCCCTCAATAGGACCAACACCAGCAACAACAACCTCCTGATCCCAAAGGTACTGGTTGGCAGTGCGGCGGATGTCAGCAGCAGTGATCTTGTTGATAGCCTGCTTCAACTCTTCTCCAGACAAGTGCTTGCCGGAACCGAGAATCTGGCTACCAATGTCGCGAGCAGAGGTGCAAGTCGAATCAGTCTTCAACAAGAGGCTGGCCTTAACCTGCTGCTTTGCGCGCTCAACCTCACTAGAGGTGACAGAAGTAGAAAGACGGACCCACTCACTCTGAGCAAAGTGAACAAAGTCATCGATCTGCTCTCTGTTCTGGGAGGCAAAGTAAAGACCAAACAGACCGGTGTCCTTGAAACCCTCGGTGAAGGAAGTGAAGTAGTCTGCCAAATGGTTGCCGTTCACAATGGTCGACAGTCTGGAAGAAAGGTGGGAAGAGCCACCAAGAGAGCTACTCCAGGTACCAATCAAGGCTTGCATAACAAGGAAGTTGAAGTAGTCGGCAGACAGATAGGGTGCGGCCTCAACGGCCATAGCAACGTGAGCCTGGGGGAGGACATCATCACGCAGACGGATCTCGGAACCAGTGAAAAGAGCCTTCTTGGTAGGAGCAGCAGAGGTAGAAGCAGCAAGCTGTCCAAATGACTTTTCGGCGAGCTTGACAAGAGCTTCGTGAGAGACATCACCTGAACCAACAAGGACAAGGCGGTTGGCGCCATAGTTGGCTTTGTGGAACGAACTGAGGTCACCGGTAGTCAAGCTCTCGACAGTCTCGCGGACACCAGCAATAGGGCGGCCAAGACTCTCGCCCTGGAAGGCCATGGCGTGCAAGTGATCAAAGGTAACCTGCTCGAGGTTCTTCTCAGCCTGAGCCTGCTGGGCCAAGACAGATTTGCGGGCAGCTTCAATGGAAGCAGCATCGAGCTTGGGGTTCTGGATCAAATCAGCAAGAATCTCGACAGACTCGCTCACATTGGCACCAAGGGTCTTTGCGGCAAAGAAGGTCTGTTCACGGCAAGTATCACCGTTTACAATAGCACCGAGTTTTTCGAAAGAAGAAGCATGGCCCTAGATACACCACCCAAAAGTCACACCCACACAGATAATTAAGATTATATATATACGATTAATGATTAATTCAGATAAATAGGTAAATAAATAGAAATATTTTCTTGTTGCTGTTGTTAGTATTGCTGGGATTGGTGGTGGGATTGGTAAAGTTTGTGTAATTGTAGTTGTAGTTGTGTATAAATATTTGGTTTCTAAACATAAGATAAATATACAAAATAAAATAATATCAAGAAAATATGTCAATTGTTTGTACCTGGATACCAATATGTTCCAAAAAGTTGGCAGTTCCGTTGATGGTATCTGAACGAGAACCAGCGCCAACCCACACACCGACAGTAGCGGCACCTGAGGCAGGGTTCCCTTCAGTAGCAACAGTGAGACCGTTAGAGAGAGTGGTAGTGCGAGTAGAAGCACGGACGGCAGAGGTTGCCAAAGGGCGAACGAACTAGTGTGTTTTAGGATCATGTCAACATTAATTGTACGTATAAAATTATGACCATTCTTCTTCAAATCAACTTTTTTTTTCGTTTTCGTTTTAGATTTTAACAATTATGTTTAATAATAATAATAATAATATAAAGAGCATATCGTTGTACATTTCCAAAAGGTTATTTTATTTCTTCATTCTTTTCGTTTCTTTTGTTTGGTTTGGTTTGGTTGAATTGAATTGATTGGTTAATTGGTAGTGTCATTGTTGGTCTGCGTTGTAATTTGTCGTATTAGATCTATATAATAGGCGAATAGTATGCGTCTTATTTATTATCTAGACAATAATTGTTGAACGTGATGTGCCGATGATGATAATAATGTCGTTCATAATGGTAATTGAAAGCGTAAAATAATAATATTAAATGTAATAAAAACAAACTCTGATTTTATATATATATTACCTGCTTTGTCAAGACAGTGCGAGACTGAAGGGTATGAGAGAGGAGCTTGGAAGCCATTAATGACACACACACGTACAAAAAAAGGAAGAGGAAGGGAAAAAGTCTCGAGGAGCAGAGTGGGGGGAGGAGAATTAAGAAAGAACGAGAATTGGACTATCGGCGCTCAATAGGACTGTTTGCACAACTCATTCTTTGCCTTGCAGGCTACTAATTTTTTTTAAAAAAATTGAAGGGGGCCCGTTGGCCATTGTTTACATGGAGATCGCTATGTGCACCTCTGTACAAACGACCGTTGCTATTTTATTGCGTCATAAAACTAATGATTGCAAGTAGCAATGATTAAACCCTTACTTTTATACTTCTTTACAATTACTACAAAATCATCCTATCTTTTGATAAGTCTACACACATATATACACACTAAATATCATAGGCATGTATATTTGTAATACCAAAAATGCATATATACACATTGCCTTATAATACTTAATATACCCAAAAGAAACAAATGTTACTTTATTGGGTGTAAGATACCGCTACCATGAACAAGAAGAAATCATAAAGATCAAGGGCAAGAATCACAAGCTCATCTTTTTATCCGGATTTCTCGACAGTGACTGTTAACCCGACAGTTAAATATCCACTGTGGTGGGGAGGTTGATTTTAATTCATATAAAATATCGTTAATCCTAGGGGACGACCTTTTCTGATGGGACCCGAAGTTTTCATTTTACCAGACCACCTAAATGTGACTCGTTATGCAAAGTCTAATAATTATATCTGGTCCCTAACGATTCATACTTATTCTACTAAAGTTACTTTAATAAAACGGTTGTGAACTTGAAGCAATTTACCATTATTATTATTTTGGACGTAAAGTTTTTTTTTTACATTATTAGAAAGTCTTTTCACACAATAATATTACTTTTAAAATGTAAATTTATGCGCGAAATACTGTTGAGAATCCTTGTGGTAATGAAATGTGGTGTAAACCATGTTCACCAAAAAAATGAAGCCTACTAATAACCAGGTTCATTAACCCAGTTGATTAGCCCGTTTTTAGACCAAATTTGTAACCGTCTTTTAGATAAGTATAAAAAGTACCACCTTGAGTATACACTTTCATACATACAGCTTGACGCTGCCAGTATCTACTCTCTTATATACACGTATGTAATAAAATAGCTATGTAGCATAATACTTCAAAATACTATACCCTAAAATGAAATGTCGGCACCAATCTTGGAAACGTCGTACCCTTAAGATCGCTGGTCATTCAATTAATCACTCTTTCTTACATAGTTGTATATGCATCAGTTTGTCACTGGTTTAGTCCTCTTGGAATAGACTATATATTATTGTATTTACATAATCTAATAACACTACCACACCTTTCCAGTATCAATACAGCAATCAACAATATTTAATAAGCTGTTTGTTTGTATCTGTGAACGTTTATTCGAATGCATACGCTGGCAAATAATGTTAGGCTCAATATAATGGAGATTTCGACTGTCACTTGGCGTTTTAGAAATACTATAAATCGCGAAATTTTAGTTTAATCAGCTCTTTAAACTTGAATATGATATTCTTCCTTCTTCTTTTTC